TGTTGAGGTCCCAGATCTGGAGAGAATGGGGCAAGCTGGGTGGAGAGTTAGGGGAGGAAACAGCATGGTCTAGAACAGTTTGTGAGTCTGGGAGCCAGAAGGGGGCTCCGGAGATGAGAAGGGATGAGTGTGGGGGGTCAGCAAAAGGTTAGGAGGGGGAGACCACCTGGGCTTCCCTCTGGAGGTTTCAGGGCCTGGGGCTGAAAGGAGGTTTTGAAAGAGATCACTTCGCTCAAGGGATCCCAGACTAAGGGAGAGAAGAAAGCTGTAGGATCCTGAGAGGGCCCTGGAGTTGGGGCGGGGGTGGGGGGGGGCTCCCAGAAGACTCAGCTTGTGAATGGGGTCCTGTGGGTCTGTGTGGGGTCCCGGGGTGGGGGCACTCACTTGGCCTGGGCCTCGTCCAGGCTCTGGTCGGTGATGGTCATTATCTGCTGCAGAATGTCCCCGATGTCTTGCTTCCCTCGGCCTCCCGGGACCCCCCCGCTACCCCCACCGGGGTCTCCGCCACCGGGAGGCTCGCCAGGGCCCCCAGGTTCCCCACCCACCAATCCCAGGCCCCCCCGGCCTCCGCCTGGAGGGGGCGGCCCCAGTAGCCGCTCGTCCATAGCTGGGGGGGGGCCCTGAGGCCCCCTCCCTGCTCCGCCCCTCCCCCCGCCTGATTACTTCCCCCCCAAACTCGCTGGGGCCGCTGCTCCCTCCGCCCCAACCCCCGCCCGTCTCCCCCCCTCCTCGCTCCCCCGGGGGTTCACCCCGGCACTGAAGGGAGACCTGGGGTACCGGCTGGGCCCCCCACAGGAGACCCCGGCCCCCGGCGGCGGAGAAAATGGAGCCGGAGAGAGAGAGGAGGCCCAAGCGGGGGTGTGTGTGAGAGAGAGGGAGGAGGGAGGAGGGAGAAGGGGGGAGCGAGGCTGGGGGAGGGGAACCCGGGAGGAAGAGGAGGGGAGAAGAGAGGAGGAACAGGGAGGAGCCGGGGGCGGAGAGAGACACACTGAAACAGAGGAACTGAGACCGAGTGGAGGAGGGGAGAGGGAAGACGGGACGAGGGGAGGAGACTGGCACTTCGGGGCACTAAGGGAAGGCCCGCGGGCTGGACTTCCGTGGCCGGGGAGGGGGGTGTGGTGGGGGCTGGGGTGTCCACCTCCTGGGTTCTGAGTCTCCACCCTAAGTGACACCGACTCTAGCCGCTGGAATGCCCGGGTTCACAGGCAGCTCAGTTCATATTTCTTGTTCTAATGACTCCCCTCCCTGTTCTACTTAATTAAAACCAGGAGAGGGGGGCTGGGGGAGATAATTAGGGAGGTCTCCAGCCGCTGCTTAATGAGCCAGTAATTAACCAGCTAGGGAGGGGAGCTGGCCTCTGGCCAGACTGGGGAAAGAGGGCGCCTCTGGCCTCACCTTCCTATTCTCCACCCTCCCACCCCGCAGACATCAGTCTTCAGTCCAGAGGGGAATTATATTTATTTATACAATCAAAACATCAGACAAACTCAGCAGCAGTGGGAAGGGAGGGTGGGCAGGCTAAAGGTCCATTCACAGCTGCTAGGCCCTCTGTATTGGGTGCTAGATGGTGCCCAAGGCAGGGATGAGAAAATACTCTTGATCTTTCTGTGCTGTGCCCACCCTCCCTTTCTTCCTATGGGGAAGGAGGGTAGAGCTGTCTATCAAGTGATAACCTTAGGAGACTTGCCTTGAGAGGGAAAGGCCTGAGCCCTCACACCCTGCCTAGTAGCTGGATAGCTCAGGACAGGGACTCCCAGTTACTGCCTGAGATTGATGGCTGGGATCCTCTTACAGCCTCAAGCTCCAGAATACTTCAGGAAGTTCATTGACCATCCTACCTTGCCTATCCCCAGGATTTGAGGACTTTCACCCCCTCCAGTTCCCAGGGAAGGTGCTGAGGGTGGTGATCACTGTAATTTCTGCTGGGTCTTCCAGTCTCTGGTACCCATGCCAGGCAGGGTTGAGGGCAGACATTGGCTGCCCAGCTTTGAGCCCCAGGAGGGAGGAGGGGCTAGTTGGAGACTCAAGTCTCAGCAGGTGTGTGTGGGGGGCCGGGATCTTTGCTCCTCCATTCGGCCCCCACCCTGAACTCTCAACAGCAACTCCAGGAGCTCTTGCCCCCCTGGTGGGAGGGGAGGCTCTGATCTCTGGGCTTCCATGCGCTGGCACTGGAGGAGTGGAGGGAGAAAACATTGGTAAGGACTGGGGGGTAGGTATCCTTGAGAGGAGCCAAGGCTGGCTTGGTGGGGTCGGGGGAGCAGATCGGAAGCCTATGATGGGGATGGGGGGACTGGGGACTGGGGACTAGGTATGGGGCAGATGTCTAGGGACAAAGAGGAGTAGATCCAAACAGAACAGGGGGCAAGAGACCAGACCTTCTGGGGGTGTCTTACCTGGTGACTGAGGATGGTGCTGTAGAGCTGCTCTCTGTCCTCGAGAGGCCGGGGTGGGACTGGAGTTAGGCTTGAAGGATTCTGAGGGGCTCGGAAGGTGGCCCTCTGCTCCTCTAAGCGGCGGGACTGTGCCTCAGCCACCAGGTCCAGAAGGAGTTCAGTCTGCAGGGAAAGCAGGGAGGCCGAACGGGGCCCCAAGGCTGGGGAGAGGAGGGAGGAGGGCTCAGAGACCCAGAGAAGTTGGTGGATTGGAGCAGTGGGGGATGATGAGAGGGTGAAGTGACTAGGAACTTTGGGTCGGAGCCATGGGGATGTGATGGGGAGTCTGGAGAGGTAGGGATGGAGTCAGGATGTAGGCACCAGGGTCAGGGGATTCCCTGGGTGCGTTGGGGTACCTGTGTGGCGGGTTCCAGGAGGAGGGGATGGAGGAGCAGATCGCCAAGGCCGAATGGTGGAGTTCAGAGGAGGCCAGCCCAGCTCTTCTTCTGGGGGTCCCTGATGCCAAGAGACATACATTCCAGTCAAGCCCCGGTAGTAGGTGGAGGGAGTAGGGTGGGCAGAGGGATAGGTCAGTGTCCCATTTCCTGTGTTTCTGTTCCTGCCTTAGGGTGCCCAAGCCTTTTCAAGTCCTTTAGGTCCACCGTCACTAGATCTTTACTCTGGGTCCTTGCATTTCTCTCTCTCTCTCTCGACAGAGTTAGCCTCCCCAGTTAGTGCCCAGCTCACCTGCTCACCATCTTCTTCCTGGGGTCTCTCAGCCTCCATCCCCTTTCGGGGAGAAACTGATGGGGGAGGGGTGACTGGGATTTGGGAGGAGGGCCGGAACCTTGGGTTCCTGAGGGGAGTGGGGGCTGGAAGGGGTGGGGGTAAGCTGGGGGATGGATGCCTGGGCACTGAGCAGGAAGCTGGGTTCCTGGTCAGCCCCCCCACGGCCCCGCCCATCCATGTCAACTTCCTCCATTCTCTTTTCCCACCCAAACAGTTTGTTTGACCCCTCTCCCCAGGGGAGCATAAAGACTGGGAACAACTCCTCCAGCTGCAGGAGTGGAGAGGTTTCTGGGGTGGGGAGGGAGACTTTGGTCTTCTCTCCAGAGCCTCAGTAGCCTCCCAACCCCCAATTTAGCTCCCTTCACTGCCCCCCCCCCAGCTCTTTCTGTCAACACAGGAACTAGCTACACAGGAAGTGTGGTTTCACTCTTCAGGATCCCCCTCCCCCAAACCAGGTCCTTTTCCTCCCTAAAACAGACCTAGGATTTGGCCCTTCCCAACTCCCCTCAGACTTATTGGGATTAGGAGGCACATGGTTCCAGTGGAAAGCAGAGCACTCAGAGCAGAGTGTGTGTGTGTGTGTGTGTACACATGTATCCCTAGTACTGGTTCCCACATGCAATAGTTACTCAAGAATTATGGGCTGGGGGCTAGGATTGTAGCTCAGTGGTAGAGCACTTGCCTAGTATTTGTGAGGTTCCATACCCAGCACCACATAAAAAACTAAATAAAGATACTGTGTCCATCTACAACTAAACATATTTTTTAAAAGAATTAAGGATTGAATAATTATTCCTGCCCACTAGATGTTTAGCTCTTAAGGGTTAAGGGTGCAGTGGCACATGCCTATAATCCTAGCAAGGCAGGAGGATCACAAATTTGAGGCCAGCCTCAGCAACTCAGTGAGGCCCTAAGCAACTTAGCAAGACCCTGTCTCAAATAAAAAAAGGGCTGGGTGTATGGTTCAGTGGTTAAGTGCCCCTGGGTTTAATCCTTGGTATCCTCACCCCTCGCCCTCTCCCCTCAAAGTGCATCAAATGTGAGAAAAATAGAAATAGGTTTCATTCTGGCAATTTGCAGCTTATTGCAGATAAGGGGCAGGAGAAAATGTTAGGTCGTGAATGAAGGATCTAGAAATGGAGAGAGGACAACTTTCCTGGCTTGGCCTTCGATTGATGTTGGACTGGATGATATCGAGGAGGGAATAGGGTAGACCTTTGGGATCTTTAAATGGCTACCTGGCCACAGCTGAGTGGATGGGACCATGAAATGTGATAAAGAGATCTGGATATGCCACTTAATACCTTGCAATTGTGGATAAACAAAATCTTTTGTGCCTCAGATTTTGAGAGTAAAATGGGGCTTTCATAGCACCTACCTTATATATTGATGTGAAGATTGTGATACAGCACTTGACCCATAGTGAATGTTCAATAAATGGTAATTATTAGCTTTCAAAATTTCTCAGGCCTCCATATCTCAGGCTTATCAGTATCAACAAGGTGTAATCATGTTGTGAAAGGTGGTTGGTTCCTTTAAGATGTTCTCTCTCCATCTTCCTCTACTTGAGACCTTAGGAATCTCCTAAGCAGCTATAACTAAATGCACTTGGTGAGGGACAGGGGGTGTACATGGCCTACTATGTATGTATTCTCCTTGGGCTACTAGAAATTCTTGCTTTCAGAATACATCCAAAATGATCATGGGACTGTACTTACTCTTGATCTTAAACTGTATTTAAAGTTCTGATCCAAATGTTGAGCCTGGGGCACTAAATCCCCAACACTATGCAGAAGCTCCATTATTTCCCATTCCACTCCACAACCCATCACAAAAAAATTTAATGCTTTAAATCAGCTTTATTACTAGTGAGATTTGGGGTTCACTAGAGATGGCAGTGACTAGAAGGGAGGCGCTTCATCCCTGCATGGAGTTTCTTTGATGGGGTCAGGGAGAGCAAGGAGTCATCAGCTGGACTAGCTACCTTTCAGCATCTACACAGTGCCTGGCACACAGTAGGTGCTCTATAAGTATTAGCTATCTGTTGACCACAGCGTGGGGGTGGGGGAACTCGGAACATCTGCCGGCAGTTCCTAGTTCTGGTTTAGGGGTAGTTCTCTCCATGAACTTTGTCCTTTTGTAGCCTCTCATGTTTATTTTCTAGAGGATGACCTGGGCCTGCCTCATTCCAGCATCCTAAATCTTTAGTGCTTCAGCTTCTCTACGTGGAATACCATGCCTGTTGAGGTGGGCATTCACTCATTTTGGGAGGGAAACTACCCCCTCTACTTTTGGGCCTTAATTTTAAAGTCAGGCAAGCCTTCCAGACACCCAGTCATTTAATCATTTTTAGGATTCCCCTCTCCTTACTATCCTTCTATTTCTGACCCTCTCCTTCGGAGTTTAAGGGAATGACTTGCTGAACTGGGAGACCCCAGACAACTTGAGGGGATCCCCGCTCCGGGGAAGGAGTAAGGCAAGGAGGCGGGATCGGAATGTTGGGGGAGGGGCCGCAGGTCTCCAGGGTTACCCAATCACAGGGCCAATCATCCGCTACTGTCCTGCCCCCGCGTGCGGCCACAACTCCTGATTTTCCCCGAACTATTGCAGGGTTGGGCCGAGACCCACGCATGCCTGCAGAAAATCTACGGCTGCGGGACGGCGGGCCTCCTGCTCCTCCTCCAGACAGGCTCCGGCAATGAGGATAGGCCCTGGCCCCGCGCGGGGCCAAGTCTACGGACAAAGTCCGAGATTGCTGGCAAGCTCCGCCTCCACGCTGGCCCGCTCCGGCTGACAGCGTCCGGCAGCGCGGAACGGCGCCGCCCGCATGCGCAGGCACGCTTCCTGACGCGGTCCGCGCGCGCGGGAAGGCCCCAGTCTCGCGGCTCGGCGTCGCTTTGTGACGTGCCTCTGGTGGTCCCGCCCCTTCCAGTAGCGTCAGCAGATCCCAGTGGTTACGCTGGCGCGCGATGTCGCTGGGCGCTAGCCCAGCCTGGTCCCGCAGTCCTCGGGCCGCCCCCAGCCCCAGCAGAAGCTGGGCTACCTCCATCGCTCCTTCCCGGGCAGCCAGGAACAGCGGCGTCTGCTCCTGTCCGGAAGGAAACAGCCAGGGGGTGAGGTCAGGGAAGGCCACGCCCACAGAACGAGTCCTACCAGGCTCCAACGGCTTGGTTACTGGCCCCTCCCGCTTCAGGTTTTCTGGGGTTCCCGCGCTTTCCAAATCACTGGTCCTTCCCTCTTTTTAAAATATGGGCAGCCAGATACCCGTTCTGACCCTGCTGTCCTGGGCATCTTTATCGGCTCCAGCTTGTAGAAGGGAGCGGGCGGCTCGGGCGTTGTTTACAGCAGCAGCCCAGTGCAGTGCAGTTTTTCCTAGAGGACAAGGGGAGGGTGTTAACGCAGCAGCTGGGGACCAGGAGCCTGGGTTCCTGTTTCCCACGGATTCTAGCCTTGCGGGGGAGGGCTTCTAGGCCCCTCAAAGGCTGGAAGCGTTGCCCTGGCGACCGCCAGTCAGCAGGAAGCGTTGCCCTGGTGACGTCACTGGCGCACTGGAGGGACAATGGGTATTGTTCTGGAGTCGGTGGGACCGGGAGACCTCCCTCTCCTCCCCACAGACATTCTCCCATATCCCAGTTTCCCGTGGGTTTGGACAGTCGTGTGTGTGTGTGTGTGTGTGTGTGTGTGTGTGTGTTTGAGAATTATGGGAGAAACTCAGCTACCGTACAGCAGCAGGTTTACCACCAGATGGAGGAGCAGGGGTATGCCCTCCAACTGCTGCAGCCCTTCTCTGCTGCTCCTATATTTTGCACCTCATCTTATGCCCTAGTTTCCTTAACTCTATGGCATGACATTACCCCCGCCCTTCCACACCCCATTTATCTCTGGCCCCGACATCTGCTTGGGCTGCAATCAGTTCTTCAACTAGGTCTTCCACCGCCAGCCTGGCCGCCAGCATCAAGGGTGTGGTCCCGTCCTCTGTACGTGCGTCCACTGCAGTCTGTCTGCTGCCGAGTAGGAGCTGTAAGGACAAAACCTGTGATCTCTGGGGTACCCTGGACTGTTAACTCAGGTCCCTCAGACTTTTAACCCTTTTACCAATCCATATGCAACCATCTTCCTTGTTTCAGGTCCTCAATCTCACATCAATTTCTTATGTCAAACACTAGAGGATGCTTCTACCCAATGTAACTTGTAAGATCACCCTTTTCCTTTTGGGGACCCCAATGTATGCTTACCTGGCAGACCTCCCGTGCGTCAGCAGCTACAGCAGCATGAAGTGGAGTACGCCCTGCCCGGTCTGGCTGGTTGGGGTTGGCTCCAGCCTCAAGGAGGCGGCAGGCAGCAGTTGGTCTGGAGAAACGGGCAGCTAGGTGCAGAGGGGTCTCCCCAGTGCCCACTGTGTGAGCCTGGGGACAGGCCCCTCCATCCAGCAGAAGTTCCCAGGGCTCAGGACTTCCCAACCATGCTCCCTGAAAGGTCCTGGACTCCACTCTCCCACAGCAGACTGCAGACATCAGGGGTGTAACCCCATCTGTGGGTGAGAATGAGTAATGGGTCCATCAAAAGGACACAGGAGGAGGATCTTAGGGAGAATCACAAGAAGAGATATGAAGAAGCTAGGCTCTGGCTTTTGATTTTGTGCTTAAATGACTTTCCTACTTTGAGCTTCAGTTTCCTCACCTATAAAAATAAGAAGGCCTTAATTCTCTTAACATTCTAGGACAGTGATTCTCAAACTTGAGTCTGAATCAGACTCCCCTAGAAGGCTTGTTAAAACACATATTGCTCAATATCTCAATTTCAGAGTCAATAGCTTTGTAGTGGATCCTGATAATTTGCATTTCTAACAAATTCCAAGGTGATGCTGCATTTTGAGGACCATACTTTGAGAATCACTATTCTAAGGCACTCATTCCAACATTAGTTCCTCCAGTTCTGACACTAAAGGACTTTTCTGCTTTTAAAAGAATTAAAAAGCATTTTTTCATTTTCTTGGTCTGGGTTGGTTCATACCTGGTCCACAGGCATTCACATCAGAGACTTCTATCTCTGATTCCTGAGGAGGAGTCAGCATGGCCACCTGAGGGAGCTCCCCACAGCCACCACTCAGTGGCCACAGTTGGCACTTGGAAGGTGGGGCCATTTCTTCAGCCTTGGGGCAAAAGCAAGAATCAGTGAAGGCCATTGACTTGTTCTTTATTCTATCAACTCCATACTATTTCTGCCCTATCCCTTTCAGCTGATTCACCTCTTCTTCCTCCTCAGGGCCTGAGCACATCACCACTCCATCCTCTTCCACTTCTGCCTCTGGCTTCAGTTCCCTGGAAGGAAGTGAGTTGGGTACAGGTTACACAAGTTAGGACCAATAAGAGTCTCCAAGATTTCCAGCAGCCTTCCTGCCCCTCATCTTTCTCTGTTTTCAACTTTTACAATAGCATTTCTTATTGCTTTGGCCATAAATATCTCCACGGACAGATTCCCCTTCCTGAGCCTGAGTTCCTCCTCATTCTCACTTGAGGCCAATGCTGTCCTCGCCCAGTGGGGGCCTGCGTCTTCGGGGAGTCTGCTGAGTTCTAGGCCTTCGAGTGAAGCCAGGAGGCAGCCAGAGGGCCCCATGCTCTCGGCGTCGACGTCGGATGAGCTGAAGGACAAGAAGAGCCCCCAGGGCCAGGAGAAGCACTCCAGCAACTGGCGAGCACAGCATGGTCCAGGGAAGCTGTTTGGTGGGTGCTAGTGGAGAGATACAGTGACAAGGAGGTCATTCCTGGTGGGACTAGTTCTACTCATGAGCAAGTGCAACAATCTTTCTCTGCCTCAGTTTCCTCATCTGTGAAATGGACATAATACCTGCCTCTTGGGGTTAAATGAGTTAACAGTAAAATGCTAGAGCAACACACATAGTAAGCATGATATAACAGTTATTATTCTTTCATGTACTACGAACTATTTAATACAAAGATGACTGGGTACCCACATCTAGTAAAGAAGTTAAATTAGAACCTGAGGTTTCTTGGAGGGCTATGTCAGAGGTTAGAAAGTACTTACAGAACCAATAGGCTGTGAGGAGAACCAGGTAAAGAGTTGTTAAAAGGAGGGCAAGTTCCCACAAAATATTTTTGGTTCCAGCTATCCTGTTTTATCTCTTGCCTATTACTGACATGAGCACAAAGGTCAGGAGAAGTGGTGGGTGTCACCTACCAGAGCCTGTGTGAGGGTGGGCAGCCAGCAGGGGTGCAGGCAGCAGGGGCTCTAGGGCTCCCACTGCAGCCATTGCTGCAAGGAAGCGAAGCAGGAGTCCTGAGTCCCAGGGACAACGGGATGCTGGGTGGTCAGGGCCACAGTGGGACAAATCTACACCCATCACCACCACAAACCTGTAGGGGAGGCATGTTAGAGATGTGTGTCAGTAACTGGCTCCCAACCCTCTGCCCCATGGGAAAACAAACTAGTGTCTGGACTTCCCTCCACTTCTTACCCAGCACTGAGGGAGTCCTTCTCCTTGCCTAGGAGCTGCATATCAGGGTCTGCTTCCTCTGCATGTGAGGGGTCATGGGTTCCTCTTAGCTCTTCTTCTGCCCGGGACCCAGGATAGGGGAACACCATGTCTCTGCCATTACTATCCTTCCTCACCCAGAGCCCCACCCTCAGAGTCAAGGACAGCACGCGGGCCAGAGCAAGCAGCTGCTGGTCCAGGGCAGTTGGGCTCAGCACCACCAGCAGGGCCAGGGAGGGCCCCCACTCCAAGTCCCCATCTTCAGGTCTGCAGTCGCCCCCATCCCAGCCACATTCTGCGGTGTTGCAGCCTTTCTCACAGTGCCCATTGTGGAAGTGGTCCCGGCAGTACTGGTCATAGGCTGGACTGTAGGGTGAGAAGAGGGGAACTGAGGACCCCCTAAAACCTGACACCCCTCTTTCCCCAGAGGAAATTCCTGACATTCCACAGCCCTTTGGTTGCTAAGTGGGGGTAGCTGTGCATCCCTGGATGGTGGCCCAAACACCCTGACATCCTCTCCTGAGACCATCCTTTCCCTCCTCTCCCAAGCCCCTTTTCCCTGAAGGAGAGCCCTTTTCCCTCAGGGATGCTGGTTGCTAGGAGAGAGATTCCATGGCAACATGAATTAAGAAGGCAAGCTTGAGGACCAAGCTCCAGAACGCTGAGAGGAGCCTAGAAAGAGGTTGTGTCCCACATAAAGTATTGATGCCATCCCATTTTTCTAGGTTGGAGTCCAGAGTCTTCAAGCCCTACTTAGCAGTGGTTATTAGGGTGGAAATTCCTTGGAGCCGGAGACTATGGTCACCCTGTAACTCAGACATCTATGTCTTACTCTCTCATCCCCTTATACCCCAGCCACAGTGGGCTCTAGGCTCACGTGCAGGATGGAGGGGGCTCGCAGTCGTAGCCATCAAACAGACATTCTTCCGAGTCACACTGTGGGTGGCACTGTCCATCCCGGAAGAGAAGCCAGCACCGGGAATGGGAGGGGCAGCCTTTCCAGGGGTCTGGGACCCCCAGGGAGCAGTCCCCACCATCCCAGTTTCCTCCTGGGCCACTGCAGCCAGTGTCACAGGCCCCATCTCCACTTCTGCCTTCACACCCTTTTGCTCCAGGCCTCTGACATCTGGGCCCCGGAGAGTCAGGAGGGCAGGAGCATCGAAAGCCTGGGCCCCCCAACCCAGGGGTCTCTGAGCAGCTGCCATTGTGTAGGCATGGGGACGGGGGCCCACAGCCCTGAGGAGCTGGTGGAGTCAGGCAGTCAGGACCCTCAAAGCCATTGAGGCAGGCACAGCGGGGTGGGAATCCTGGCTTAGGGGAGGGCAGACACAGGCCTCCATGGTGACAGTGATAGATGCCGCAGGAAGGAACTCTGTGGCCGCAGGTGGGGCCTTCAAAACCCTGTATAGGGGGAAGACATTGGGGAAGGACCTTATTTTATTATTCCCACTCCCCCAAGAAAACTCTAAGTTAGATTAGTGCAGAGAGGGTCCTAGACTCTCATCAAGTTCATCATTTTATGGATTTGGAACCATGTTGCATGATAATTTCATGCAATGACAGGACATTGTTGCAAAAATGGATGAACTTTGCCAATATAATAAAAGTCCTGAAAGACTATAAAGTCTTAATACTTTTTAAAAAAAATTTTTTAAAAATATTTATTTTAGTTTTCGGCGGACACAACATCTTTGTTTGTATGTGGTGCTGAGGATCGAACCCGGGTGGCACGCATGCCAGGCGAGTGAGCTACCGCTTGAGCCACATCCCCAGCCCCCTTAATAAATTCTTAATAGAACTGAATTCTATTATATTCTTATGTTCATCCTTTTGGAGACAGGATCAAATGCCTTCCTCTTTCTCCAAGGAAGGGAACATAAGTAGAAGTAAGTTATTAATATTGAACTTTTGGGGTTAGGTTCATGGATGTAATATTGTTAAAATACTAAAATAAAAGGTCAGGTACAGGGGCTGGGAATATAGCTCAGTTGGTAGAGTGCTTGCCTTGCATGCACAAGGCCCTGGGTTCAATCCCCAGTACCTCCGAGGCGGGGAAAAGGATTAGGCACAAACCAATGAAGAGTGTATCATGAATCATGGATTACTATTAATCCAATCCCATGCATCAGGGATCCACACACAGAGTTAAAGTAACTTATCCAGGAGCTTTTGATCTTAGGCAATGCCTATGGTTTCTGAACATTCCCTTCATGATCCTACCTTTTCCCTGACTCCTTTCCCCTGACTGCTTCTGAGAGCCACTTACTGCTGGGAATTTAAGATGGCTCCTTCCAATAAGTCACACTTTGATGATCTCCTATGCTCCCCTCTAGGATTCCAGCTCAGGCATTCTCACCTTTTATCAGTATAGAAGGCAATAGAGAAGGCAGCTTTGTGGTCTTTTACCTGGGGACAGTGGCAGGTGAAACCCCGGGGTGGTCCTGCGGTGACCTCACAGGATCCTCCATGGGAGCAGGGCTGGCTCTGGCAGGGGTCTATCTCCACCTCACACCACTGGCCTGTGATGGGGACGAGACTAGATATTGCTTCAGTCACTGCCTACCTCCTCACTCCTGGAAGTTGGCCCAGCACAAAGGGATCCTGGAGCATCTTCTCTGGGATAGCACATGGAGGCAGGGGATAGACAAGGGGACTAGGCTGTCTCATAGGTGAGGACTGTCTAGGTCTCCGTGATCTGCTTAGATGTCTTCACCCCCCCCCCACCACATACACACCAAGGCCTCACCTGTATGTCCAGGTAGACACTGGCAGTAGAAGGCATTGGCTAGAGAATGGCAGGCTGCGGTGCCTGTTGGGTGACAAGGCTTGTCTAGACACTCATCCACATCCCCCTCACAGCGCAGACCCACAAAACCTGGAGGGCAGGCACAGTTGAAGCCTCCAAGTATGGGGGTGCAGGTTCCATGGTTGTGACAGGGTTGGGACTGACAAGCATCAATTTCCTTTGAGCAGTTCTGTCCATTGTAGCCTGGGGCACACTACAGGGATGAAGGATCAGAGATGTAAACAGTGGATGAGCCTAGCTCAAAGCAGTCTGTTCAGCCCCCCATTTTCCAGCCCAATAGCTTCACTCAACTCACCATCCATCGCTGACACATGTAGCTTGACCATTCTATCTCAATGCCACATGATACATTATTATTCAGTAACTTATAGCTTAACCCTCCCCTAGTCCCAAACAAACCCTTTCCCCTACCAATACACCCTCCAGATTGTCTCATACTTCATTACTTCATAAACATGTATTGGATGCCCACCTTCTGCCAGGCTCTGTTTTAGGTACTAGGAATACAGGCAAAATTAGAGCTCATTCCTGTTTCTATGAAGCTATCAGTCAATCAGAGGGGAGAGGTAACTAGTATTTATTACATGCTTTATATACATAACCTCAGGAAAACCTCCTAAAACCCTTTATATAGATTATCTCACTTGATCCTCACTTCACAGAAAAGGAAACTGAGTCCCATAAAGGTAAAGTGATTTGTGCAAGTCACATGGCTGTAGATAGAAGACCTGAAGTTCAAGTCTATTACTCCATAATCATTTTTCTGCTTGCTTCATGCCTCTCTGCTAATGAGAGAATGTCATTGATGATTCTGTACCACATACTGGGTTCTTGCAGGAGGAAAGAGAGCATGCAAGAATGGAGTACAAGAAGCCTTTGGAGAGTTGATAAAAAATTTACAAAGAATCTGAGCAGTGGCCAGAAGGTTGGTAGGAACAAGTTAAATGTTTTGGAAACTTCTGGAAGGGGGAGTTTCAGGAAGTAGGACATGAAACAGAAATGAGTGCACAGAAGTTCACGGCTTTCAGTCAAGCACACTGAGTTTGTATATATTTGAAAATGTTCATAATAAAAAGGTTAAAACTAAAATTTAAAAGTGAAGTAAAGGATCCAGGAATAGTGGTACACGCCTGTAATCCCAGCGACTTGGGAGGCTGAGGCAGGAGGATCACAAGTTTGGTGGGGATGAGAGTAGATATTGCTTCAGTCACTGCCTACCTCCCAACTCACTCCTGGAAGTTGGCCCAGCACAAAGGGATTCTGGGGCTTCTCTCTGGGATAGCACTTGGAGGCAGGGGATAAACAAGGGGACTAGGCTATCTCACAGGTGAGGACTGTCTGGGTCTCCGCAGCAACTTAGGGAGGCCCTAAGCCGCTTAGTGTGACCCTGTCTCAAAAGGGCTGGGGGAGTAGCTCAGGGGTAAAAGCCCCTGGATTTAGTCCTCAGTACAAAAAAAAAAAAAAAAAGATGAAGTAAAGGGGATCCATCTTGTGTCTTCTGTTAAAAGTTGTGGTCTGAGCATAGAATCAGGCTGCCCAGATTTAAATCTCAGCTTTGCTTTTCCTGGTATAGTGACAAAAACCACCAAGGAGAAGCCTTCACCCATCTGAGAGAGGACTTAGAGATATCTTCCTAAGGAAGGTGCTTCCTGGTCCCCATCCAGTGGAAGAGGGGTGGGGAAGGCCATTCCAGGCAGAGGCAATGGCAGGGAAAAAAACTGAGACTGATGCTCGCCTGTAATACTAGCAACTTGGGGAAGCCAAATGAGAAGGATCGCAAGTTTAAAGCCAGCCTCATCAGGTTAGCAGGACCCTGTCTCAAAACAACAACAAAAAAAAACAACAAACAACAACAAAAAAAACACACAAAAAACTGTGGATGTAGCTCAATGGTAGAGTGTTCCTGGGATCAATCCCTAGTATAGATTAAAAAAAAAAAAGCTAAGAAGCAAGAATCAGTGTGGGGTGTGTAAGGTTTACATTGCTAGAATGAAGTAGGGAAGTGGAGAGTGGAGAAGGTGACAAATGAGGACTGAGGGGCAGGCAGTGCTGTATCAGGCAGAGCCTTGAACTTTATAAAGATGTGGGCACCCCCTGAAGGATGTTCAACAGGGGAGTGACAGGTCAACTTAACATCTGCAGTGATCCCCAGGTTGTGGGGTAAAGACTGAACCAGTGGAAGGATAGATATGGAGGCTGACATGGTATTCAGGTGAAATGCAACAAATGCCTGTACTAAAGCAGTGGGATGAAGGGTGAAGGGGAAAGGATAGAGTGGAGAAATATTTAGGAGGTAGAATGGCCTGACCTGGTGGTTAGCTGGATGTGTGGGGTAAAGGAAAGGGAGGAGCATTGGGTACACCATGTTATCCTTCCCATTATTACTGTTTTCCATATCTCCAGCCATGTCCTGTTTCCCATCTCCAGAAAGGAGAGTTATCTTCTCTCCCTTCTTTTCTCTACACCTCTTACCTGGCAGAGATAGCCATTGGGCTGGGCCACACAAGTGGCCCCATTCTGACAAGGCCGGGATTCACAGGGGTTTATGTTATCCTGGCATAAACTGCCTTGGAATCCAGGGGGGCAGTGGCAGAAATAGGAGGGGCCTCTATCAATGCAAAGGCCTCCATTCTGGCACAGGGCAGAGACTTCTATGCCTGAGGGAGAAAGACAAACAGGGAGAAGTGAAGCTAAGTGGGCTGGAAGGGTTTTCAGGATCCCAGATCTCTAGCAGAGAGGCCTTTAACTTAAGCAGCTAATGTTCTTGGGTGGAAACCCCCGTGGGCACAAGGAGAAAGTAACTCCTGACACTGAAGAGGGTAGAACATCAGGTTTCTCTGCCTATCTTTTCTGCCAGAATATGGGAAAGATTTCTTAAGCTTATCAGTGTTGTAAGGTGACTATTGTCTTGAGCCATAAGCAAGAGAGAGCTCAAGGGAAGGCTGGACATACAGCTCAGTGGTAGAACATTTGCTTAGCATGTACAAGGTCTTGGTTCGATTTCTCAGCACCACAAATAAAATGAAGTTTTTTAAAAAAATGAACTCAAGAGAAACTTCAGGCTGGGGACATGGGACTTTACTACTGTCCCAAGTTTGTCCCCTGGATTTTGCATCAATTTTGATGTTATCTCACCGTGATTCCCATCAACCTAAGCCCTAAGCTCTTCCCTGAGCTCTTCTCATGTTGAACCTTATTTGAAGTAGAGTATTCTTTTACAAGAGGGTTGGTGTAACCTCACAGGGGTGGGGTGAAGTGTGTTGATGTAGCTGGGTTAAATGTAGTCCACTTAAGGTGAGTTACAACCATAACAATGTTGAGTTGCTCCACCAGGAGTTATGTCCCTGGTGGTTGTGTTAAGCTGGGGTCTACTTTACTGGGCTGATTGGTGTTGTGCTGAATGTGGTGACAGGAGTTGGGTTTTTTTAGGCTTCCTGGGTGTTAAACTGTAGAATCAATAACTATAGTCGGGGGCTGGGGTTGTGGCTCAGAAGTAAAGCACTTGCTATAGCATGTGCGAGGCACTGGGTTCAATCCTCAGCTCTACAAAAATAAATAAATAAATAAATAAATAAATAAATAAAATGAAGGTATTGTGTCCATCTACAACTACAAATATTAAAAAAAATAACTATAGTTGGTTTATGTTGTTTTGACTCTCAGGTGGTTGTTTTGGCCAAAAGCTGTGTGGCTGCTCTTAAAGAAGGACACTTGTTTTTCTTCATCTGCTCCCCAGTTGGGCCTTGTGTTGGTACCTTGGCTCAGCGCAGCCTTCTGGCAGGAGGACTGTGGAATGTTACAGAGAGGCCCGGTCCATCCCTGGAGGCACAGGCACTGGAAGGAGGGCCCACTCTGGAGGCAGTGGGCATTGTGTGGACAGGGCTTCTGGGCACATAAGTCCATCAGAGTCTGAGGGTTGGGAGGGATCACGAGGCATCAGGTTCCCAGGCCTGGAGATGGGCCTCTGCCAATTCCAGCTCCTCAGAATCCCTCCCTCTAAGACTCTCTCACGAGTGGCCTGGACCAGGTAACCCTCCCTGGTTTCCCTTCTATACCCATATTCCAGAATGGCCCCTGAGGGTCATAACTCCATTCGATCTTTCCTCCCTTCTTCAGGCTACACAAACCTCAAATGAGACTTCAACTCCTAGACCTTTCTTCATGAGCTTCCCTGCTGCCCACCTTTTATTTCTTGAGACCATTCTTACTAGAGCTCTCTAGGTCCCTCCCTCCTCTGCACACCTGGCTCCTTGCATCTTACCTGGCAGCTTTCTCCTGTGTATCCAGGAGGGCAGAGGCAGCGAGGGCCCTGAGGGCCATCTTGGCAGGTTGCCCTGTTCCTACAGGGGCTGTACAAGACAGAGATAGGGCAAGGTAGGAAGGAGGTCTGGGAAAAAGGGGGAGGGAGTGTGTGATGGGGAGGCAACTACTGGGATGATGGCTGACCAGAAGGGGAGGCAGGAGGAAGAGTGTGCAGCAGAGATAGCCTGGAGTTCCAGTGGGAGGGAAGAGAAAGGGCGGGAAGGCTGAGGGGCTCCTTCCCTTCCTCTGGGGGCCTTAGTGCTCTGCTCACCTGTCTGCACAGCTGGAGTGGATCCTTCCCTCACAATGTGGACCCTGGAAGCCCACGGAACAGAGGCAGGAGAAGGTGCCAGTCCTGTTCACACAGGTACCCCCATTGAGGCACGGGGCTGGAGAGAGGAGGCTGTGAGGGATTGGGTTCCTTGCCTGTAACCTGGCCTGTGACCTCAGTCACACCGCTCACAGGACATACCTTTCCCCCACTAAAACAACAGCTTCCAGTTAATTTTTTTTCTTCTAAATATGGAAGAACTCTGCCCGATTCTTTCATCCCCCTGTGCTTCAGTGCCGGACATGGTGGGCACTTACCAGACACGCAGTGGTCAATGATGGTTTGGCAGTGGGACCCTGTATGGCTTGGAAGGCAGATGCAGGAGTAACCTCCAGGGCTGGGACTACAGGAGCCACCATTGAGACAGGGCTCTGAGTGACAAGCTGTCACCTCCTCACTACAGGTGGGCCCTGAGGGAAAGAGGTGGGATCTGAGAGTGGGAATCCTTTCTCTCCCTCCATCCTCCTCTTCTTCCTTTTGCCCTCCCTTCCTTACCCCAACTCTATTATTCCCTCCTATTTAGCTCCTTTTCTTATCACCTCCCACACATCATCTGTGTCCCCTGCAACCCATGACCAGTTTTCCTTGGTGGTGACTAATACACAGAGCCTTTGGCCACATACATTTCCCTTGACTTAGGGTGTGACTAGCCCAGGTGTATATGGTTTACAGACAGTCTCACCTGTGTAGCCTGTGGGGCAGGTGCAGTTGTAGCCAGAGGGCTGGGGATAGCAGGTCCCCCCATGGGCACAGGGTATGGAGATGCAGGCCCCCAGCTCTGCCTCACACTCTGGCCCTGTCCAGCCCACATCACACACACATGAAGATCTGGCCATAAAGAGAAAGGGGAGTATTTTTCTTTTCTTCTGCTGTATCCTTTTCCTTTTCCTGTGGGCCAGGCCCTTATGACCTCCTCTTTTTTGTCCCTGAGACTCTGGCCTTTTTCTTCAGTGACTTTCCTCTTAACATTGCCCTTTCACCTTCCTGATCCCGCAGCACACATTTTATTTCTCTATCTTTATTTCTTCTATAACTTGTTCGTTGTCTTTCTGCCAGACAGAAATGAAAGCTCCACGAGAGTCATCATTTTGTCTCTTTGGCTCTGTGCTATTTCCCAGTGTCTGGAACGATGTCCACACAGAGTAGATATTCAATTGATACTTGTCTAGTGAATGATGAACTGATGCTGGGCGTTATACTCCCTTTTCTGCTCTGACGCCTTAATCCTCTGTTTCCCTCATCATATACGAGCTCTCCCCTCCTTGGATAACAAGTCCTCCTATCGACTTGCCCTAAGAACTTGGTCATCTCCTTCGTAGTCCCTGTTGGTCATTTCCCACAGACATGTTCCTCACTTGCTTTTTCTCCTACCATAGCTAAGGAGGACCAGAAAAGGGGCAAATGGAGGGCCTGGAAGATGTTACCTCTGGCAATGCCCATGGTGGCAGGTGCAGTTGTCCTCAGCAGGGGCACAGCCAAGGCTTCCACTGGGGCAGAGGCAGTGGATCTTGTTTTCCTGATCCTGGCATTTCTGCTCAGGCTGGCACAGGTTAGGGGCACACAGGGGAACCTCACAGAGCTGGCCTGGGGTGGGGATATGAGTCAAATAGAAAACAAAACCCTTTTATGCCCTTCAGGGGACCAAAGACTACTTATGTATGACTAACTCACTCCCCATAGACCTGTCCTTCAATGACTTCCTGTTATCTTCAGGATACTAACTTCCTGTCACACGGGATCTGGTGTGACATGACCTTCCTACAACTGCTGTGTTTCTCATCTTTGCCCTGTTGAACTCTAAGCTCTGGATCTCATGCAGTTCCTTAAATGAAAGGTGCTTTTCTTTCCCCTGTGCTTTTACAAACACAGTGATTTCCAACTAAAACACATTATCTGGCATTCTATTTTGACAAACTCCTGCTCATTTCTCAAAATTCAGCCTGGCCATCATCTCCTCCATGCAGGCTCTTTTCTGCTCTGAACTCCATGAAGAGTTCTCATCTTTAGTCTGGGTTAGTGGGTTCTCCTCTCTCAGGGCCATTGGGCCATACCAACAGGAGACTTGTTGGTCTATGCATTAGACTTAAAACCACTTGAGGATAGCAACTTCTTACTCAAACTTGCTTCTACAACTGGCATAGTAAGCATTTATTTATTTGTTTATTTGTATGGTGCTGGGGATTGAACCCAGGGACTCATTCATGCCAGTACTTTACCACTGAGTCACATCCCCAGTGTTAATAAAGTCTTGCTATATAAAAAAGTGAATGGCTCCCCTTTGAGCCCAATCTCTGCTCCTGAGCCCTAATTATACCCATTCATGTTGGGATAAATGTGGCTCTTTAATAACACCCACAGTTGTGAAGGTTTTGCTCTGAGTTACTTTAAGGGGTGCCATTCTTATCTGTTTCACATCCTGACTCTCAAACACCCACCAATGACTACTGTCCCACGCCAAATGGACTCAATTATTCTCTAACAACTTCCCTGCTGACCTGTGAAGCCAGAGGGGCATAGGCAAAAGAAGGCTCCTGGGAGATCAAGGCAGCTGGCTCCACTGGGGCATGGGCTACTCAGACACTCATCCACCTCTGTCTCACACTGTGGCCCTTCAAAGCCTATGGCAGAGGAGGAGAATCAGGGACTGCAGAGACTTCTGCTCTCTGCCACCCTCTCCTCCCGTGTTTGGGCCCCAGTTTACCTGGGAGACACTTGCAATGGAAGGCTCCAGGCTGGTCCTGGCACTGCCCACCATTGGCACAGGGAGAGCTTCTGCATTCATCGATGTCTTCCTCACACTGGGTGCCAGTGAATCCTAGTGGGGAAGGGAGTAGATGGGGAGAGAAGGCCAAGATCATTGAGGAAGACACAGCTTAGCTCTTTCTCTCCAGGAAAGGTGAACCTGTAGGTCTTCCCAAAGAAGACACCTGGTAGTTGGGCATGGATCAACAGAAGGGTGGTGCAGAAAATGTGAAGCTCAGCCACCTACCAGCTGTGTGACTTTGGGCAAGCTACTTAAACTTTCTAAGCTCCCAGTTTCCTCCTATGTAAAAGGAGCAAAAAATGGAACCTAGACTGGGGGTGTAGCTTCAGTGGCACAGTGCTTGCCTAGCATGTGTGAGTGCGTGAGGCACTGGCTTTGATCCCCAGGACTGGAAAAATAAATAAAGAGGAGCCTACCTTATGTTGCCATTGAAAGGATTAAATGACATAATGCCCCCAAAGCACAAAGTCAAGTGCCTGTCCTGGAGTAAATAGTCAATAAATGTAATTATTTTCATAGCAGGGTACCAGAGGGATGTTCCAGGAAGCTGGAAAAGAAAGACCTGGGGCAGCTTTCCCTGTGTCCAGGGCAGGCAATGCCAAGACCAGCCTGGGACCCCTGACATGCAGAGTCCATAGAGGACTATGCAGGAGGACTGCAAAGGAGGGATATATGGGTGATTTGGAAGGTCAGAGATGAGGGTGGGTGTGTAAGTAAGGAAAGATCTGGGATGTAGCAGAAGAGAGTTTGAGGAGCAGAGGAGTTGGAGAAATGGGGAACTCTTTGACCAGGCTAGAGAGAACTTCCAGAGGACAGAACTCTGGTGGTTCTAACATTGCAGGGTGAGGATGGCTGGATTGAAATCTGCACACACCAGGCTGGCAGACACACAGGAAGCCGTTGCGCAGGTCGTGACAGTCAGCTTGGTTCAGGCAAGGAGCTGAGGCACACTCATTGGTCTCCACCTCACAGAGTAGCCCTTCTAAACCTGAGGACAGAGGAGCATGGTGAGAGTGGGGCTCTGCCAGGCTGGCCCTGCCCCCTTCTCCCTGGGAGACCTGGGTTCTAGAGCCAGCACACACGCAACTTGCTGTGTGTCCCCATCAGGCCTCCCCTCTCTCTGCTGTCTGCCGATGGGTTTGGTAGATGAACTCTGAGCCCTGCTGTGGTATGCAGTTCTGCCTCCTCCAGGTGTGAAAGCTCAGGAAGCAAGAGGGCTCCTGTTAAGAGCTGTAAGAGGGCATCCTGGAAGTGCCTCTTGGGGCCATCTCTGGGTAAGGCATGGTGGGACCCACCCAGGCAGGCTGCTTAACCTGGAGGTCTTTGATGTACAAATTAGGCAAGCGGGTGTCTGCCTGGAGCACAATTTACTCCTCTTGTTCATGGCAGGTCTTCATGCTAAAGTGAACAGGAATCCCAATGTGGGGGAATGTGAAGGGCATTTGGGAAGCTGTGATACTATCTTATTTATCCCATTACTTTGGGGTCATCCTCATGTCCATGATCTCATCTTGAACAAGGACCTCATTACCTTCCTTTTCTTGCTTAGGGAGCGTGCCTCCAACCCTCCTTCACGTCTACAACCTTGTCCACAGTGGTCTAAGCCATAAACCTTGGATATTGCTCACCTTAGAATGGTAGTGTAGTGTAGTGGTTAATGTTGAAACTCTGGGTTTGAATCTTGGCTCTGCCACTGACTAACTGCATGACCTTGGACAAACCACTTGAACATTTTATATGTCTTAGTTTCTTCATTTATAAAATGGATATAGTAACAATGCCAACCGCATAGGATTAGTGTAAAGAGTAGGTAAGATAATACATGTAAGACAGACAGTCAGCTATTATTTTTCTGGTTTCATCCAGCTCTCTGTATTGGCTCTGTAGTTCTCTTTCTTCAAATGACTTTTCCCTGGTAAAACTAGCCTGGAAGTGCCTGTACCCTTGCTGTGTTTCTTTCCTACTGCATCAAATTCAAGCACACAGATCTTTTTGGAATTTTAAGGATTTACTCTTTATCTCTGCATGGGAGAGTTGGAGTGATTAGGGGGAGCATTGTAGGTAAGTATGAGCAGAGGCTGCAGCATGGAAAGTTTATTAACTATCCTCCCTTATTTTGGCCACAGTATACAGTGGGCCATGTGTTGTGCTGTCTCTGATTACCATGAAAGGAATGGCAGCCCCTCTCCCCCAGAGTTGAGCAGTGTACAACCTCACTACTATCTGTGGCAGCTCTTTTCCTAGGGTCCATAGGTGTCTCCGTTTTCACTTGGGGGAAGGGAGAGGAGAAACATCCTGTAGTAAGTGACGCCTGTTGGACTGATGCTATCCTTGTTCTCTAGGGGCAATTCCCAGTGGGTTCAGCTTAGTTGTTTCTCCCCCACCCAAGTCCCCATTAAGCCATACCTGGTGGGCAGAGGCAGTGGAAGGTGGCAAGGAGGTCCAGGCAGGTGCTGCCTGGGTGGCAAGGCTGGGACAGGCACTCATTATGATCAGCCTCACAGCGGGAGCCCGTGTAGCCAGGTGGACAGAGGCAGTTGAAGGAGCCAGGGGTGTTGAGGCAGGAACCACCATGTTCACAGGGACTGGGACCTTGCTGGGCTGGGAAGAGAGAAGAGCTGAGAGTTCACAGGGGCCAGGTATGGGAAAGGCAAAGAGGCCAGACTGTCAGGAGAGGTGTGGGGGCCCATTTGAGGCTGCAAGACCAACTGGGGAAAGGGCTTGTATTTTTAGGATAGAGAAGGACCAAGAGGACAATCTATGAGGCCTGGAGGGCTAAGCATTGGGGAGAGGGCCATGTAGGGAAGAGATGTCACATCAGGACCAACCCAAAGAAAAAGAGATATTTCCTTCCTTCCTTCCTTCCTTCCTTCCTTCCTTCCTTCCTTCCTTCCTTCCTTCCTTCCTTCCTTCCTTTCTTTGTTTTTAATTTAAGAAACAACTTTCCCTTTTCTCTCTTCAGTGCGGAGGCCTGTCTGGGCTCAGAGAGGTTTTGCTGTGGGGTGCCTCACCCATCTGACACTCATCCAGGTCTTGGTGGCAGGTGGGCCCTGAGTAGCCAGGTTGGCACAGGCAGAGTGTGGAGCCCGTCAGGGGGTTGGTGCTGCACTGGGCTTCCCCATGGCATGGCTGGCTCAGACACATATCTTCCAGGTGGCATAGGAGGCCTGGAGGGGCCAGATGGGGGCAAGGCTGATTGACCTCCCAAGAGATCTCCAGTTCTTCTCAGCCTCCACCTTTACCTCACTCTTCCCTGACCCCTCAGTCCCCATACCTGTGCGCCCAGGTGGGCAGAGGCAGGAAAAGAAGCCCACGTGGTCAATGCAGGTGGATCCAGGAGCACAGGTAGCAGCAACACAGTCATCCAGGTTCTCTTCACAGCCTGTGCCTCCCCAGCCACTCACACATACACAGTGAAAGCTGCCAGGCAAGTTCTGGCAGGTACCCCCATTTTTGCAGTGAGGGGAACCGTGAACCTCACATTCATCCACATCTTCAGAGCAATCCCAACCTGTAGGGAGGTAGGAAAGGAACAAGGTATAGAGCTGGGAGCCCTGTGGCTTCCCTTCCTCACAGGGCTCCCAGCCATTAACTTGGCTTAAACAACTCACCTGTCCAAGTCTCTGGGCAGAGGCAGGTGTAGGTGCCCAGTCCATCCTGGCAAATGCCCCCATTCTGACAGTGGTGCTCAATACAGTCATCTAGATTCACCTCGCAGTCTAGGCCTGTGAAGCCTGATAGAGTCATGGGATTAGCCAGGTGAAGGAACCCAAAAGAGGCAACCCTCCCTTCCCAGAAAGGGGAGGAGGCTACAGAAAAGCACCTATGAGGACACACCTGGGGGGCAGAGGCAGAAGTGAAAGGTGGTGTCTCCCCCTGGCACCAGTTGGCAGGTGCCCCCATTTGAACAGCCTGCTAGGGGGCAGGGTCCTGTTCGGAGCTCACAGTGTGGACCTTCCCGCCCTGCAGGGCAGAGACATTGGTAGGAGCCCAGGGTATTAAGGCAGGAGGTGCCTTTAGGGCAGAGTCCAGGGTCCTGGAAGCACTCATTGACATCATGTTGGCAGGCATGACCCTCAAAGCCAGGTGGGCAGCGGCACTGGATCTGGGGGTATGTTGCCAGACATACGCCTCCATTGATGCAGGGGTTGGCTGAGCAGAAGTCCCGAAGCTGGCACTGCTCGCCTGCAATAGAGGGTAGAGGGAGCTGTTTCTAATATTGCACAAATTCCAGCCCATCTGAGATGACTCTGATCTCCCTGCAGATAACATCTGTGGATTGAATATTTGAATTTTCCTCCCTTTATTTCTGTGCTCACTTTACCCTGTTCCATCACCCCTGCCTTAGTTTTGCCATGCCTTGGTAGGATTATATCTGGAGCAACCTTATTTTCTAAACTGAGAATGGATATTGCAAATTGGCCTTACCTGGGAAAAACTGGGACCTGGGGTCCTATAACACCTGATCTTAGCCAAAAGGCCAAGTAGCAACGATGGGGTCCCTACAGTGATGACCTTCTTGGAGGAGGTGAAAAGCACCCAGCTTCTACAGGTAAGAGATTCAGATTGGTATCTTTTTGTGCCACAAAACTGGTTGTATGCTCTTGGGTGAGTTGCTTTGCCTCTCTGATCTGATTTTCTAATCTGGACCTGGCAACTCTGACCTGGATAATGACAAAGAAACTCACTTTACAGCATGTGCAACAGTGGTGATGGTGGTAGCAGTGGCGGCAGCAGCAGCAGCAGCAGCTTTAGCTCACACTGCATACATACCATATGCCAGGTTTGAGCTAAGTAAGCACATATTGAGTATCATCCCTTTTAATTCACTCAACAACCTTAGGAAATACGGACATTAGTATCCTTGTTTGTTTGTTGACAACCTAGGACCCAGACCACTTTAAATATCTTATTCATGTTCATGTAGTTAGTGGCAAAGCTGACATTTGTATCTATTCTAAAGTAGTAAACTTGCTCAGGGCTAGACCCCTCTTCTTGAGGTGCATTTCCATTTCTAACTTTAGATCAGGTCCCTCCAGTCTCATCACACCTTACCCCACTATATTCTTTCCAGGATTATTATGAACACCCACCATTTCGAATAGGGGCTGTTCCGATGCTCAGAATGTAGAGCATGGAGAACTCCTGGTGAGCAGCTAACAACCTCTAGTTTTAGGCTCAGCAAGCTTAAGGAATTTAGAAATATTTCAGATAGTTTGGAAATCTTTCAATGTTTTAGCAATCACATGCTGATGAATTTCAGTCTTGAGTAATGGTTGCCTGTCATGGATTAGCTTATTGATTCTCATGGCCTCTGTCTTCAAAAGGCTCACAGTCTATCATCTACCTGGGACCTGGGGTCCTATAACACCTGATCTTAGCTAAAAGGTCAAATAGCAATGATGGGGTCCCTACAGTGATGACCTTCTTAGAGGAGGTGAAAAGCACCCAGCTTCTATAGGTAAGAGATTCAGATTGTTATCTTTTTGTACCACAAAACTGGTTGTATGCTCTTGGGTGAGTTGCTTTGCCTCTCTGATCTGATTTCCTAATCTGGACCTGGCAACTCTGACCTGGATAATGACAAGGAAACTCACTTTACAGCATATGCAACAGTGGTGATGGTGTCCAGTTCCATCTTTCCCAGCCCACATCTTTCCTAGCCCACTGCTGTTGCTTGTCCTTTCCATTCCACTCCCACCAGAGCTTACCTGTCCATCCAGGCATGCAGGTGCACTGTGGGCGGCCTGAAGCCTGGATGTGGCAGCGGCCCCTTTTGGAACAGAAGGAGGGAAGACAGGGGTCTTGGAGGCGGACCTGGCACCTTTTACCAGTGAAGCCAGTGGGGCAGTTGCAGAAGAAGCTGGGGGGCAGTGGAGAGGGGGAGCTAGAGGAGCCTGGTGAGGTGGGAAGCAGGGTTTGGCAGCTGCCCCCATTCTGGCAGAGCTGAGCATCTTGGCAAGGGTCAGGAAACTTGCATGTCTTGCCCAGGAAGCCAGGGGCACACCTGGGTGGGAGGGAGAGAGGAAAACTCACATCACTGGCCCCTCCTTCCCTTCTCTCCCACCCTTCTCCCTTGCCTTATTTGTTTCCCTTCATCTCCTTCACTTCCCCTCATTCTCCTTTCTTCCCTCACTCTCCCTCCCCATTTCTTTCTAGTCTCTTAGTCCCACAAGGTACACTCACAGGCAGGTCTCTTGCCCCTGAGGCAGGGTCAGGCAGGTGCCTCCATTGGCACAGGGTTCTGGAAAACTTCCGCACAGCAACCCTATGGATGGAAAGGGAGAATGAGATGGAGCCATGCAGCTTGTGTCTCACTTCCTCCTCCAGGTGCTCCTAAGAGACCTGTTCAAAGCAAGCCCCCATGCATGCTCTAAACTACCATGTCCTTCATACCCTGTTCCAGTCCACGTGTGGTCCCATGCCTCAGTTCCTTCCATCCCAGGCCTCTCAGTTACTACTCCCTAACACCCCCCTTTCCTGTTTACTCTCTAGCCTTCCAAGTCCAGCCCTGGACTCCATCCCTAGGAAGCAAGACAACAGGGAACAGAAGGGGGGCAAGGGGGCCCCAGGAGGTGAATGGCTGAGACATTGAAGGGATTTCCTCCAGGAAGGCCAGGAAGGGCCCAGAATCAAGCCTTCCGGGGGGTGGGGACAGCTGGACAGGAAAGGGACATGGTGGACCCATGACCTTCCACATCTCCACCTCCTGATCTCCTCTTATCTTTCCCCCTAGCAGGTGGTCGATCTGCCCTTCTCAACGTGGTTATAAGAGTACACTTAACTCAGCTCCAGGGCTAACTGGGTTTCCCTGGGGATGGGTGCCCTCTCACCCATCCCCCCAACAGTCCCTACTGGCACCCAGCCCAAAGCCTGGGTTGGAGCAGCTTCTGTGGCGGTTGGCTCTCCCTATAGGCTGTCTGCATTTTTTGGGAAAATCTCTTCTATCTAGTGTCCCTTCAAAACCTGGGGGTCAGCTCTATTTCTCCCACCCCACTGGACATCCTCTTAAGGGAAAGTAGACTCCCCCTCCTCTCCCACCCCATAACTCACCTCTGGCCATGACAACTAGGAAACACGGTGGTGGCGGCAGCAGCAGAAGCAGCAGCAGGGAAGGGGGCTGCATTCCAGAGCATCCCCAAGCCCAGATCTCCTCTCCCTTTTCAGGCAGGGACTTTCAGAGCCCTCACTGTGGCAGGGCCACCTCCTTGGCTCACACTGCCCTTTCCTTGTCCTCTTCAGCCTGCTGCAAGCCTAATGTCTGAGCTGTTTCCTGAGTCACACAATGTCCTGGACACCCTAGTGAATGGTGGTGTGGGGGGGTTGGAGGAACATTGAGGGGGATGAAGGAGGGGCCTTCTGTCCCTGACAACCCCTGGGGAAGTGGGAGAAGTAGGACGGTATGAATGAATGGCAGGTGAAGATAGGAGGGGAGAACTGGCTTGGTTTCTGAGGCCCCTGGGTGGGGGGTAGTCTCAGTTCTTCTGTTTGTGAATCTGGTTTCTCCTTTTTAGGGAAAAGAATTGCAAGGTGGCTACCCCTGAGCCTCCAGAGGGGAAGGATCTGGAAGCAGAGGTGTGGGGTAGTGAGGGATCTCCCTGTTCCTCTTCCCAAGAGATGATGCTTAACTTGCCTCATGAGTACAGATGCTTCTCAGAGGACCTGCCACTTGTCATGATTTGAAACCATTTACCTTGCAGAAAAGACCCAAGGACCTCTGGACCTCACCTTGGCCCTTGTGGGGACTTTTTTTTTTTTTTTTCCTCCTTCTGGGGAATGGGCAAGATACTCTGCTGGTTTTAAAAGGAAATCTTGGCCTTCATATTTGTCATCATCAATGATAAATGAACACAGTGTTTCCTAAATTCTAGTATATTCTATCATCTATTCTAAATTTAAAATTCTAACTTTTTCATTCTGAATTATTTGTAGCGAATACTGAATTTGGGTAGCTTTTACTCCTTCCATCTCTGCTTCCCTCTACTGTGGAGATCTCTGGGATGTATAATATAAAATTGGAGTAAATAAAACCACAAAAGGAAATTTGTTGCCTTGAAGTCTCATTCCATCTTCTTAAGTCAGCCCAGGAGAGCTTTGGGGTCAACTGCATGCTCAGTTCCTCTAGTAGCACAGAGAGCAAGAGTCCAGGGTTGTGGAGGTGTCTCAGCAGCCGCACACACCCAGTGTTGACCTAGGCTGCATCCTGGAATGTTCTGAACACCTCTCCTGCCAAGGAATATACATCATTGGTGCCATTTGTCTCTCCCTCTCCCTTTCTCCTTCCCTCCTTCCTCCCTCCCTCCCTCCCTTCTTTTCTTCCTCCCTCCCTCTCTTTATTTTTTTTCTTTTTAAACTTTTTATTTTGAAATAATTTAAAGCTTATATAAAAGCAGAAAAAACATTAAAAAGAATTCCTAGATACCCTACACTTGGATTCACCAATGGATATCATTTGACCACATATGCTTTATCATTATTTTTCTATAAATGCACATTAGTAGCATTTTTTTTCTTGAATCCTTTGAGAGTTAAGTCACACACAAGGCCAGTACCTCTAAACCCATCAGCGTGAATTTCTTAAGGACAAGAACATCTTTTTATATAATACAGTACAATTATCAAAATAAGGAAATTTAGCCAGGCTGGGTCGTATATGCCCATAATTCCAGCTAGTCAGGAGACTGAGGCAGGAGGATTTCAAGTTGGAGGCCAGCCTCAGAAACTTAGAAAGACCCTGTCTCAAAATAAAAAATAAAAAGAGCTTGAGATATAGCCCAGTGATAGAGTGTACCTGGGTTCAATCACTAATACTGGTGGGAAAAAGATGAAGTGACCTTAGGAAACTTAGATTGATATAATACAGTGTTCTAATCTGCAATCCATATTCAAATTTTGCTAATTGCCCAATAACACCCTTTATTTTTTATTATTGGTTATTCAAAACATTACAAAACTCTTGACATATCATATTTCATACATTCGATTCCAGTGGGTTATGAACTCCCATTTTACCCCAAATACAGATTGCAGAAACACATCGATTACACATCCACATTTTTACATAATGCCATATTAGTAACTGTTGTATTCTGCTACCTTTCCTATCCTATACTATCCCCCCTCCCCTCCCCTCCCATCTTCTCTCTCTACCCCATCTGTTGTAATTTAATTCTTTCCCTTGCTTTTTTCCCCTTCCCCCTCACAACCTCTTATATATAATTTTGTATAATAACACCCTTTATAAAAATTTTATTTCTAGGCCCAGGATCTAATGTAGAATCACTCATTATATTGTATTTAGTATTTCAGTCTTTTTGTTTTGGGTACCTGGGATTGAATTCAGGGGCACTCAACCATTCACAATCTTCCCGAGCCATTGGCATTATAGGAGGGACCACCGCGCCCGGCTAGTATTTGTCTTTTTACATTCCTTTAATGTAGGAATGTTTCTTTAGACTCACTTTGCCTTTCATGATGTTGACATTTAAAAGAATACAGGTCAGAAAGGAGACCAACAGAGTAGAGAAAAGGGATCAAGGGTCGGGGGAGGGACTGGGGAAGCACTAGGGAATGAAATCTACCAAATTATTATATGTTCATTTATGAATATGCTATAATGAATCCCACTTATAATTATAATGTAATAATAATAATGTTAATAATAGATGGGAGATTGATCAGTAAAGTAGAGCAAGCAGATCAATGGGAAGGAAGAGAGGAGAGAGAGGGAAAGTAATGGGAATGAGATTGATCAAATTATGTGATGTGCATGTACAAATATGCCATCATAAATTCTATTATATATAACTATAATGTATCAATTTAAAAAAAGAATATAGGTCAGTTATTTTGTAGATAGTTTGAGTAAGTCTGAATTTTTTTATTTTTTCATTTTTTGATGCTTGGTATTGAACCCAGAGCCTCAGGCATGGTGAGCATGTGCACTACTAATGAGCTATATCTCTAGCCCACCATCATTCTTAATAGTTGCCTAGTATACCACTATTTGGTGAACCCTCATTCATTTAAACCAATTTCCTATGGTAACACATTTAGGTGGGTGTCAATTTTTAAAAATATATAAACTATTTTGCAGTAAGTATTCTTGAATCTACATAATTTGTGTGGTTGTCTGTTTCATGGGTCAAAACTCTTGGTCCTTAAGTGTGGCCAATGTCATTCTCCAAAGATCAGTGCAGGACTTTGTATTCCAGTCAGCAAGGTCTATATATATGTCCTTACTCTTTTCAACCCTAGGTATTAGGCAAAATGGCATATCATTGTTGCTTTAAATTTATATCTTGTTGCTGGGCATGATAGTGCATGCCCAGAATCTCAGCTACTTGAGGGGCTGAGGCAGGAGGATCCCAAGTTCAAGCCCTGCCTGAGCAGCTTAATGAGACTCTGTCTCAAATAAATTATAAAAAGGGTTTGGAATGTAGCTCAGTGATAGAGTGTCCTTGGATTCAATTCCTAGTACAAAAAAAAAAAAAAAAAAAAGAAGTATTTTGTTGTTAGGGTTAACATTATTTTCATCTATGTAATGATGATTCATGATTCTTCTTTTGTGAGTTTCCTGTCTGTGCTTTAGGCCCATTGTGTTATTGGTAAAGCCATTTTTGAATCACCTCCTTAGTTGAGGCAGCAGCTGAGGAGCCAAGGGTATAGGGATCTGGGAAGGGGACACCTGGTGTGAAAAGCCCCTCCTTTTGCCCGCTTTGATTTTCTGATTTGGGGATTTGGTGTTGGTGAGTAGCAAAAGGAAAATAGGAAGAAACATTAGGCTTCTCATGGAACCACAAAGAAAAAACCTGGGTGGAAAGAACTGAGCTTGCCATTTCTGTTGTGTTGCTGACCTCATAGCATTTTAGAGAAGGAGGCTGGGGCACTCGGCTAGAGCTTGGGAAAAAGAAGAATTGGCAATGGAGACAAAGACATTGTTAGGTGGAAGGGGAACCAGGAGTGGTGTAAGGCAGAAACTGTTTAAGGATAGTGTCAGGAAGGTGCTTGGTTCATTCCTTGCTTATCCTGCCTGAGGTTAGGCAGAATAACCTGCCCAGGCTATCTAAGCTGTTCCTGGGTCTCACTCACTGTCTTCTAGGACCTTACATCCCCAAAGAATATGGAGACTTGCCTAAGAGCTTGCTTTTCCTTCATAAAGGCTTCCCAGAGGTTGATGCTAACCATGATGGTATGGTCATTAAAGTGATCTACAGCATGGCAGGGGCACAAAGTTCTCTCTGGTGAAAATGACCCCTTTCCTTATAATATCCCATCAAAGAGAGGTTCATGCTCAACTGACTTTTCTTTCAGTGTGTATTTCCTGAGTGGGATAACCTGTCAATCATGCATACTTCAGGTTCTGACCTTCAGAGGATCAATCGTCTTTGAGCTGGGCCCTGATAATGTGACTAAACACAAAGAAGACAACAGCCCACCATAGATATAAAAATAAGCAAAATTGACCCCATGCTGATAAATCAATCTTTCCTTCTTTCTTCACTTCTTCTGTCCTTCCTCTGATTCTCTCTCTCTTCTTTCATAATGAGGATCAAACCCAGGGACATTCTACCACTGAGCTATATCCCCAGTCCTTTTTAGTTTTTATTTTGAGACAGGATTTCACAAAGTTGCCAAGGCTGGCCTCAAAATCAAGATCTTCCTGATTTAGCCTCCTGAATATTTTACATGTACCACCACTCTGGCCTCCTCTCCCTGACTACCTCTTCTTCTTCTTCTTCTTCTTCTTTTTCTTCTTCTTCTTTTTTGGTATGTGTGTGGGGGTGAGAAACTGATGTGACTCCATTTTTGAAAACAGCTTCTACCTCAAAGCCTGTCCACGAAGGGGGTGTGACCCTTGTCCTTGGAAAAACCTACAGAGAGCTCCTAGGCACATATCCACCCTGCTGAGTTGTTTTTCCGAAAATAGAGAGATCTGAGCCAGGTGTCCCTGACTCAGTCAGGCTAGGTGAGGACCCATAGCAACCCTCTAGCAGCCACCAATCAGCATGAGACAGGGAAAATACCTGGGATGCCAGATGACCCCCCAGTAGTTTATGGTGGTTGATAACATGTTGGAAAACCATGTAGCTTAGCACAAACACCCCTCATGGCTTAAAACAATCAGTTCAAAGGAATCCCCCTCTTTTACTAACCAATCACTCCTACTCAACTTGTTCCTGCCAGTGAATGTGCTAATCAATGTTAATTGTTGTTTGACTTTCCCTCGGTGTGAAATGACTTTCTGTATGATGTTGTGACACATAGAGTATCCCCCCAAACC